GCTGCAATAGGATGAGCAGACACCATAGTTGGAAATTAGGGCTCAGAGTCATTAAGAATATGCCAGAGAAATGTCGTGAAAGCTGCTCAAGCGTTTGTGCTTCTCCAGTCATGTCCATTTTAATTAACAGGGATCCTAGAAACCATAGAGCTGTGTTTCATTCCTTTCTTTTTAAAGGCATTTTATCTTCTGAGTAGAAAGGTATTGTCATCCTGTGTTGTGTGTTGTAACAATTAAGACAATGCCAAACTCTGGAAGAAGTTCTCTACTGTCAGGGCGGTGAGACATTGGAACAGGTTGCCCAGAGAAGTTATGTCTGTCTCATCCATGGCAGTGCTCAAGGCGAGGTTGGATGGAGCTTTGAGCAACCTGGTCTAGTGGAAGGTGTCCCAGCCTATGGCAGGGGGCTTGGAACTAGATGATCCTTAAGGTCCCTTCCAACCCAAACCATTCTATGATTCTATGATTTATGGAATCCCTGTTTACTTGCCTTACCTCATCTAATCCTTTACTAATAAACCCATAGAAGCAGGTACCTATCATTTTTATGGAGAATTTTTACCACTGGGTTCTCCAGTGAGATAACATGGTCTGCTGGGCTCCTCTTCATTTGTGCAGATTTCTTTTCCTTCCTATGTGTCAGGGCTTGTTGAGCTCAGTAAAATCCCTGGTAAGCACTGGATCTTCCCCCAGGTCCCTCCATGTGCTTGTCTTTCTGCAAAACTTTCCATTCTCAAATCAGTTGTTATCTTGACAATTCAGCTCTCCATCTGAAATACGTGAATAATGTCATTTTCAAGCCTTCATAAATGGTGTTGGAAACTTCAAAGGAAAAACACTACTAGATAAATATTTTTAAATGTATTTATAAAGTTCAAGAGCAGATGGACCTGCAGCAGAGTATACCGCAGTCTTCATTCCCAGTCAGCAGGAGAGGCATGCTCCAGCTTCAGGTTCTTTGAATCTCTGAAAGACCACATAGGAAACCTAGTTAGACATTCTGAAAAATTGCTCCCATCTGCCTCCCCACCTTCACCCAACAGATATGCAGAGTGTCTAAGTACCTGGCTATCACAGATGACTGGGAGGCAGTTGCTGAAGCCTCTTGTTTATGCAAATGACAAATATTCTATTCATTAAACATCCAGGTAATGAATGTCTTGCTATGGCACCTTCCAAGAGACTTTTGATTAATTGAAAGAAGTAAAATACTTTGTGTTGAAATAACAGCTGGTTATGGTACATACCAGTATCAGCTGATAACCTAGAGGAATATACTTCACCAGGAAGCTGTCACTCCTACATGTTATTTAAATAGAAGTTAGTTTTTGAAAACTTAGTACCTCTACACCAAAGTTTATTACATCTGGGTAGTAGGGTCTTTCTGGTTAACAATCAGTGTTTTTCAAAGTGCAATACCTGCCTCACCAAAACCTTTACCCAGAAGGAACCATGAGGTGTGGTGTGCACGCTATACTATTGTATGATGCAATGAGGATGCATCTAAGTGGAAGGACAAACAAATCATTCTGCTCACGAAATCATTTCATTTCCATTTTAGCCAGGAATGCACTAAATAATGCATCGTTCCTCAGCTACTCAAAAGGTCACCTTTTGGTGTACAAGCAGCTGCAGCAGCTGTGTTCCCCTGAGACCCTACTGTGAGCACAGAACAAAGCATGAGAGCGGATGACAAGCTCAGGGATTGCAGACATGGGACAGGATTCTGGAGGCCTTCCAGCGGCTCCAGCTGAGAACCACTGCTAAATTTTCTTTCTCTCATTTTTTATTTCAACCCCAAATAGCCTTCTCCTTTCCCATTCCCTTCCTAAGTAAATTAGTTGCATGTGAAATATGAGAAACTAAACATCCAATTCAGATTTTGACACCATGCAGGGACAAGTATCCATGGAGATTAGGGATCTCCTATTCATCATTGATTTCCCATCACATTTGACAGAAAGGTACAACAAGGAGAATAAAACAGTCCCTCAGGAAGGCACTCTGTGAGGCTGAGTTCAGCTTAGAGGCTGCTGAGTCTCTTATTCCCAAACTATAATGCAAGCAGGCTGATTCTGTGACAAAAATATAGACACAGTATAAGCATCTGACCAACAGCTGGTCTAGATATAACCCTGATATTTGAGACTTTCATCCAGTAGATCTGGATTAAAGGAATTGGTAGCTTCTTAGATAATTATCACATTATCAGGTATACAGATAGGAGGCTTGCAGCCAAAAATCTATTCAACTTTCTAGAGCAGACTGTTGGGTATAATATAAGGTCCCTTAGTTTGGATGGAGGGAGTTTGAAGGAAAAAGAAAATCAGTGTGGATTATCATTTAATTCAGAATCTGTTCTCCTAACAGGTAGGTCAGGGTGGTACAGAGGAGACATCCTGACCAGGCCTGGCTTTCATTTGATGGTGGGTGAAGCAGCATGTTGTTCTTGTAGGATTTCCTCAGTGATGTCTTCCACAGACCTAATCCTGTTCCATTTCCTGAACACCTAAATCAAAATCACCTACAACAAGAACAGATTTATTTCAAATTAAATCAAACAAGCAAGGAGAGAAACAACAACTACATGAGAGAAAAACAAGCATGTAACTCACTGTAAGGGCCATCTTGCATTGATGCATAGCAACCCCTCCTAGACTACAGCCTAGGGAACACTTTATTTTTAAAGTTCCAGCACACAATAACAGAATCATAGTAGGCATTCATCTAACCATATGCACTACTCATGTCTTTCCTTACCCAGAAAAGCAAACAGACTTTAAAAAGGGATGGGGGGGGGGGGGACACCCTAATGCACAAGCATTGAATTAAATATAGCACAAAAAAAACCCTCCAGTGTGTATGTATTCCTCAGCCCATCCAGATGTGCTTTCATTTCCCCCAGTCACTCACACATCAAGGCTGCCACAGACCTCCATAAAACCCCCTGAGCTCTTGGATTTCCGTTCCTGTTCCTGGGTGATGTAGGATTCACTAACTCCAGCTGCTGCTGTTAGCTTTTCCCCACTGCAATGGTTCAGTGTCACTGTCAGCCAGCACAAAACCCTGCCCAAAAGCACATGCCATGTGGCAAGACTCTGCAGTTCAGCAGGCTGCCAGCCTTACAACCACAGTGGGCACAGCAAGGTGGCAAATACGAAAGGACAGAAAAGAGAGCAAGGGGTAGATGGGCCCATAGCATCCTTCAAATTAAAAAAAAAAAAAGAAAGAAAGAAAGGAAGAAAGAAAAGTACAATATTGCAAAGCAACCAATTTTGCCCTAAACTGTTCTTTACAATAAGGTGGACGTAGTGACAGTGAAAGCAAGAGAGGTTCTGCAGCTGTGATCAAACAAACTTCCTGCTTTTCATGTACACCTCTGCCACTGGCACCCAAAGACCCTGAAGAGCATGTACTGCAAGTCAGGAGAAAGCCCCATACGCTTCTGACAGCAGTCATTTTAGCCATTTTTCAGGCACATTACCATCAGGTATGGGTCATTACAGGAATTCAGTCTGCACCAACATTACAGTATATGCTGGACCCATCATTTGGTAGATGCTCCAGTTGGGGCCAGGATACCACTGGGATTACTTAGCTCATCTAACTGAGCCCAGTCTGCACTGGCTTAGAAAGAAAACTAAGAAAAAAAAGCAAGTCTTCTATGAATAGGCTGAATTTTTTTCAGCAGGAGCATGAACCTCCTTAGCGAAACATCTGTGAGCCTGGAAAGAACAAAAGGCTAAAGACACAGACCAGTCACACTCTGTTTGTTTAAAATGTGTGATCCCAGAAAAACTGAAGGCTGTTTCGAGCTAGAAATCCAAGCTAGAAAGCAATGGCAGCCCGCTGGCTGGCTGACAATCCAGAATTTAGTACCAGACCAACAAAGAGCTGAACAAGTGTTCTTCCTAATAGCAAGAAAGCCAGGAATGGAAGCACACAGCCTTTGCACTCCAAGCTTTACCTTGAATTCCTGTGCTCAAAAGCCACGTGCTTTTGGGCTTCCCTAACTTGACTTTAAAGTCGTCGATGCATTCTGAATTTGCTAAAGATCTTGACATCATTACCACTATCCTGTGTCACGTCCTTTCCTTGGGTTGCCTCTAAAAAGTCCAGCTTCTCTTTGTTGACCATATAGGAAGCTTGGTAAAAGGAGTCTTCCAGTGAAGATGCCTGCACAAGGTGGGTAAAGCCAAGCAGTGACAACATTTCTTCTGCCCCCCTCCCCACTTTTACCCTGTTTTTCCCTTCCTGGATAATGAGACAATTTTCTTTGTAAAGCAAACTGTGACCAACACAAAAACAACTGCCAGCCTGAAGTAAGAGTGAGTCTGTGCTTCTGAATCAGGATGAGCATATTAGCCGTTTCCTGGCTTCACACTGAAGCAGGAGCAAGAGAGAACCTGTGTCCTCCATCCCATCTCCAGGCCCCCAGAGGCAGGTGAGCCCAGTCCGGCAGCTGGATGGGAAGCCCCCAGTGCTGCAGTGAGCACCACGCTGCACATGATATCTGCTGGTCAAGTAAGGTACAACCATGGTAATTTGTAATTCTCTTGGGCGTATTTTCATAGCTGTTCCCTTTGACATATGTATTTAATGGGCTGCACACACGTGCATACTCTCACTGGCACCCAAGTACAAAGAGCTGATTACACACAGCTTTCCTTACAGATCTGATAATCTGGATAATTTATTCAGGTTGGCAAAGTTTGAGTGTTTTTCCATTTCTTCTGCAGAAGGGGAGCAATGTGACTGTTGCTGTGGTGATCCTTTCCTTAATATTTTTAGCCATGATCTGGCTTAAAGTCATGACTGGCTCTGGAAAGTGTTATATTATTAAGGCACAATATTAAAGTACTGGTGAATAGGCTTTTGGTTTTCATGCAATATTATATGTATGTATGTATGTATATTCATTGAAATTCAGTGGAAATTGAATTTCATTTTTACAAATGAAAACATATAGATATTCCTTTATCATAAACAGGGCTGCTTGGCCTTTATTTTGTAACCTATGTTCTCCTCCATTCTGTTGGTCTAAATCTGCATAGTCAGAACCTCTGCTTGCCTGGGATATGTTTTCAGGAGGGCACATGCTTATTCAGAAACATCAATGCTGACATAAAGAGTAATTGCATGTATAATCCCTCAGGCATGGGGCTTAAAAAAAGCACCTCCTTCCTTGTTAGCGAGGTTAATGACTGCTCTGCAGAAGGGAGCAAGGTGATTTCATTTTTTCCCTTCATTCATGAGGTTGCAGAGCCAGCATTTATCTTTCTGGGGAGAGGACAGCAAATGTCAGCTCCCTGCCTGCATTTAAACCTTGATCAATGAAGCTGTTGGTAGGGAAAACTATTATGCACAGTAAGAAAAGAAGTACAAACCTTCTCCTACCAATGGAAGTGGCTGATGACAAGTTATTCCCATTTGTAGCCTGGGATGTAGACGTTCTTGCATGGCTCTATCAAAGTAAGGGTGGTAGCACCCACTCCCCCAGCCCAAATCTAAGCTCTGCCATTGTATGCTGGTGGGGGTAGAAGTCCAGCCACCAAATATCCTGTGCTTGCCTCCTTCACTTTGTGTAGCAAAATAGCTGTGTTTCAAAAGATGCAAAACTGCTTTCATTTGACTGTTTCCCCGTAACCTGCCTCATACCAAGTTCTTCCCTGGGATTAATCACAGAAAAAGGGTACCATGCTGTACAGATGAAAATAAAAACTCAACTGGGCCGGTGGAAAGCTGTCCTCTCATTTAGTCCTGATTTTCTGAAAATTATTGTCGGAGATGAAATTTTGTTTGTCTAGTTTAAAATCCAGGATTAATCATTCAGGAAAGTTGACAATCCTGTTTCTCCATTTTGTATCTCCTATGGGTGTTTTCCAGCATTTAAAACAACTTCCAGATTCTTATTGTTTGAGGTGGGAGTGAACAAGGGGCTTGTTTACTTTCCATTCAGGCAAATAAAAAGTGACATTCTAAAAGGTTTTGTAATTTCCATCATTGCAACCAAATGTGCTTGGTATATTTGAATAAACCATATTCACGTATTTGTTCTTGAGATGCACTAACAGAAGCTACTACAAAACTTTCTCTTGCAATGGGATTGCAAATACAGGTGATATGAAATAAAATATTTTCTTCATTTTTAACAAGAAAACTCCTAGGATCATTAAATAGAGGAAGTACTTAACAAACAGATGTGTATTCACACACACACATTTATTATGAACTACATTAAACATGATGACAGAATACAACAGCATGCATGTGCCTATGTCTCTTCTTTCTAACTGCTTCTCTAGAAATGTCAGGATTTTTCTGATTTCATCCACAAGTTTTCAGTAAGTGCTAGAAACTCATGCCTTTCAAAAAAGCAGTTCAATCCCCTGTGGTCTTAACACTCCCTGAATAGATGCTGGTAGATTCAGCAGCCTGTTGAGGCAGCAAATGACGTCAGAGGTGCAAAAAAAACCAACCTGTGCCTCACTGGTGGAATTAGAACACGTCTTCCTAACACCCCTCCAATCTTTTCCAATTGTCAACAGCCTGGTGAGGACACTTGGACTCGGACACTTGGACTCGGCTTTCCCACTGACGCCTAGAAGCAATGCACCAGACATGGATGACACACATGTAGCTGTACCTTGCACGATACTTTGGGGATGCCTGGGGTTCTACACAGTGGCTGAAGAGGAAGGGTGTGCTTGTGTTCATCTGCACAATGCCAGCAGGCCTCCCATAGTTGCAGCCAGCATGTCAGTGCTCCATGCCAATTCCCTCACCAGGTCATACAAGGCACAATCCAGCTTGTGTTCTTGATTTAGCACTGACATGGGATGTCAGGATTTGACAGCTGGTTTGTTTTCATCTTGACCTTTTCCATGCCCTATCACATACTGTGATGTCACCACTACCAAAGTAATCTGCAGGCATGCATTTAATATGCATTGTATACACCTGTGTTCTTGCTCACGCTGTACCTTAGAAATAACAGAATTCTGCAAAGAAAGGAAGTGGAAGCCCTGGAAACTGGGAAAAAGCATACAGGGTCAGCTGAACCTCTTTTCTGGGTCATTTTAAGAGAGTCAGACTTCACTCCACACACCCACTGTAATTTAAGCCCAGTTCCACTGTAAGAGAAAGAAACCAAAGCAAAACAGACTGAGGGATGGAGCCCAACCTGCCCAGAACTACTTTTGACCCCTTTCATTAGCCATAAATGCCACGTCTTGCTTCCCATGCTCAGCCAAAGGTCTGGATTTTGGCTCACTTCCCCTTAGCATGAACTGGGCCTGACTGAACTGAAGGTTCATGGGACCAGGCTGATCCTTCTACATCCCGCTCTTGCCACACTCAGCTCCATTCCCATGCAAACTCTCTCCATTAAGGCAACCTTCCAACACATACTCCAAGCAATTAGAAGATTTCCTGCTTGCTGTAAGGCAGCCTTATTGTGAGTGTATATCATAACACAGTTTTTTACATGTTATTCCACACCCGGATTGCTGCCTTTGTTGCACGGGGCTGAGCTACAGCCCCTGCGGGAGCTATGAACAGTGCATTTGCAAGCAGAATGTAGGTTTCTGTGCTATTTCTGAAGCTCTGCAATTCACTTCCTGCCTTACACGCGGACTGGGGTTTTGCTTAGATGCAGAGCTCAGATTGAGCTATCAGTCACAGTATACTTCTCTTTTTCCTGTTTTAGAAAAGGGATTTATATCTGTAAAAGATGCACTCAGCTCAAAATCCTGTGGCCTTAAATACTTTGACTCTAGAGCGAAATATGAGAGATGAAGGTATGTGATAGAATTACGTCTGTGCTATAAAGCAAGCCTAACTTATGTCCAAATCCCAGCCTTCCTGAAGTACAGTCATCTCCTTTAGCTGTACTGGGCTTGGAATCAAATCCTCACAGAGCTTGACAAGAAGTTGTGCAGGTAAAAACAAGCTGAATTTCTAACAGTGTATCTCCTAGAAATTTCAATGATTCCTGCTGACAGTTTAGTTTTAAGGACCAATTCTCAGGCAGTAACTCATGACCCAATTCTGAAGTCAAGACTACAGTTCACAGATAATTTTCTTCATACATCCCTCAGCAATTTTGGAAGGAGAGGCTGCTAAAAGAAGGCTATAGTAAGCACAAAAGAGACAAAACCTGTTGGCCAGATACTTACACTAAATAAACTCAAGTTAGTAATAAATACAGATTTTTGGCAGCAGTTTTTGCAAACCCACAGAGGGGAGCTTAACGGCTTCTAAGTCAAGGCAGGTAAGAAGTTAGAGTCTTAACTAGTTACTGCCTTACCACACACCACCTGCTCACCTCCACCCCATGTGAAATAAGGCAGAAGGAAACTTGCAGTTAAAACGAGGCTGAATGCCTTCATTTCTGACTGCAATCCTCCTCCTTCCCCACTACCAAAAGGTGTTAAGATGTTATGTATCTTTAGTCAATTTGGCATCATAAAAGACACAGGGCGAGCTCAGTTTTGAAGGAGGGGAAAATAAAAATAGCAAGAACAGGATAGTTACTGTCTCACCTTTCTCCAGAGCTTAATTTTGAATTAGCTTTGTGGCTTGGCTAATTAGCCTACACATTGATATTTTAAAATGATGATTAATTGTTCCAGCTCCTTAGAATACAGGCTTAATTCTAGTAATCACAGCTGCTCATTGCTGTAGCTTGCTAATGCTTATTTAATCTTTGAGGCCTCAACTTCAAGCCTTTAAGGAGGAGTTATATACACCTCTGTTAAGGATTATGTCATTATAGCTGCACTTTCCTTCAGATGGAAAGATGCTTTAATGATCTCTCAAAGTTGTCTTCAGGGCTAATTTTCCATGACAGAGTCCGATCCTAACACAACCTAATCGCACTATTTCAAGGGAAAGTTACCCCATCCCAGGCTCCCCAGGACCCTCCTGCTTCTCTCCTGTTCATGTTTTAATAAACCCTTTCTCTGTAGCATGGTCTGACCATGAGAAAAGCAGGAAGCCTATCTTTGAGAAGCTACTTCTAGGCCAGACAGACAGCTTTCAGGTGACAGGCAGAGAACCAACAGCTCTGTCTTTCTATTGTACCATCTGTTGCATGTGATATAAAACTAGGATGTTTGATACCGGGAGGAGAGGGGTAAAACGGTCTCACACCAGGGTGTCACAGCAACTGGGTCTCTCCACCAGCAGACTGTTCAACAAGACAAGTTTGATCTCGGCTGGATCTGGGCAGAAGACTACATTTCTATCAAGTTAGTCGTAGGACTTGAGATACAGGTAATATCTGCTCTAGCAAAAAAGTTGTCATTGCCATTTCCAACCTCACAGTCTTTTCACATTTGAACCATATCTGAATGGTACCTGTGGCACCAGCACTCTGCATTGTGTGGCCACTATGTCTACAAACACTCCTGGGGATCTTTCTGTTAGGTTAGCTGTAGTGTCAGAGTCTAGTCTAAAAAGAAACAAGTGCCATGGTCCCCTGGCATTCGTGACAGACTTTTTGAGGCAGGTCTTATAACAGTTATGAATGACTGCAATTGCTTCTGACTCCTTACAAAAAAGGAAGGGTCTGATCACCACCCCCCCTCCCCCCCCCCCCCATCTGTACAATCCAATGGATAGTACTGAAGACTATGGCATTCATCCAAATGTATATGACCAGCAACAAAATCTGGCCAGGTGACTTCAGGAACAGTTTTCCTAGTGATATGTCTGTGCTGTAACCTACTAGGGGGAACAGGAAATCTCCCTACACTCTTTCGGTACAGCACACCCATTACACAACCCCAGACAGATGCATGGGACAGTACTGCACTAAAACTATGCACTACAGACAAGGTGTCAGAGGTAGGAAAGTGGTAGTGGAGAATAACAATTTCCATTTTTTGGTCCTCTGGCTGATGTACTGAAGGCACTGAACTTTCCTTACTCAAGGAGAGGACTCACAACCAATACATTGCTGACCTCCCAGAAAGGTGTCCTTTGGAGCAGAGCATGGCGGGAACCAGCCCATGTCCAACTGTCCTGTCACCATTCTGCCAGCATAGTGTTTTAAATGGTAAGGTCTTAATGTGCTGTGTGCCCAAGTCTTCCCTGCAAAGGCACAATGCTGTTTATAACTATCATTTCACCAGGCATTTGTCTATCTGCACTGAAAAAATACATGGCACAGTCCCTCAAGGAGTTCAGTTTGGATCTGATGAGATATATCAGTGATGGTGCAGTTCTCCTAGCATTTTGTAAGACCTTTGCTGTTGCCAGAACATTGCCTGGTTTAC